GAATCTCTGTCGTCTAGAGGTGACAAGTTAACAGATACAGAAAGCCAGTTTTAAATTTTTATTAAGAACACGCTTATGGGGCCGGGGAAATAATTCAGTAGAATAAGTGCCTGCCTGGCAAGTGCAGGGTCCTGAGTTCAGTCCCTGGTACTGCAAAACAAACGAACAAACAAAAAGCACACTTAATAAGCCAAATAACATCTTTACTGTTTTAACAGAAAATAGAAAATCAAAGAAGAAATCATGCTCGGTTTGCACCTGTGGACGGTTGGGGGCTGCAGCTGCCGTTAAGCGCGCTGGTAGCGACGCCCCAGGCCCCACCGGCCAGGCTACGCAGGAGGGCGCGCCCACACACCTGGGGGTCCGTGTCTGCAGTGTTCTCCCGTTTGCCGGCTCCTTGCCTTTCTTCCTTTCTCCACAGCCAGCCGAGCTGTGCAGAGCGAAACGCCTTTCTTTTCTTTTCACAAAACACCTCCCACGTCCCTTTTATTGTTAGTTGCCATCATTGCCCATTTTGCCACTTAAATGCATTGTTTATCATTTTTAACCATTCATAACCCTGATTGGCAGAAAAAACTAAGAAATAAACAACTACGAACTGCTTTCGTACACCAGAAGTTTGTATTTAATAGGAACATTGTTAAATGGCAGCTTCTGAGTTAGATCTCAGTACAAGAAAAAAAAAAAAAAAAAAGCAAGCAAGCAATGTGAATATCTGAAGGGCTAATTTAGTATAAAAGGTTATAAATTACCAGAAAGATGTTAGAAGCTATTTAGGCCAATTTATTGTCAAACATAATAGTTACAGAAGTAAGTATCAGGTTAGTGTGAGTTGGTTTGATTTTAAAAGTCTGTTTGGTTTATAATCTTATCATCTAATAAGCGCAGCTCTGACTCCATTGATCACTAAACACCAGGACGGTGCCCTGTGCGCTTGCGTTAAGTGCCCACACCGCAGAAGGCACGCTGGTTTTCTCTTACTGAACCAATGGTATTACACTAGTGTGACACACCAGCGATTTACCTAGGTCACGTTCTTTTATTTGTGAGCATCTTAGTGGTGTTTGTGTATATAAGCAGATCCTTCCCTCCAGTTATAGCAGAACTCCTTATTAATTTGATTCACCCAGAGGTGGGGCAACACCCGTAACATTCACAGCACTCTCCTATTTAAGCAGAGAGACAGACATGTTGCAACCGCTTAGCTTGTGTTCTCAGTCTAGTCACAGCGCATCAACACTGTGACACAGCGCACCAGTGCGCACAAGGAAGCCACCTGCCGTCTTTGGCTCATTTTGTATTTTTATCCCAATTATGTTTCTGGCAGAGAAAGCAAGTTGTGACCTGCTTGACATGAGGGCTAAGGCTCCCTATCAATTTTTGTGGAGGAAGTATTTAAGATTTTATCTTAACACCGAAGCTTACAGAGGCTATGGCCTGCAATTTTCCACTTGGTCTTTTCTGATGGTTACTGTTGGGGGTCCCTGAGCGTCCCTGAGGGGATCAGGGGCCCTTTTCTCCCAGCTGGACATTGCAGGGCAGGCACGAGTGAGGAGGTGACGCCCCATGAGGGGCTGCAAGCAGGGTCCAGTGTTCTGGAAGGAGTCCCAGAAGAGCTAGCCCTTCTCAGTAAAGTGCCAATAAGAAGCATGCGGAGATGCTGCCCAGAGGGGTCCTGCACGCAGCAGGGACTTGACACAGGATGAGGTACAGCCTGTTCCTGTGAGAGACCCCAGATGCGGGATGAAGCCCCAGGGAGAACAGAGGCTTCAAGCCACAGCCAGGAGGCAGGATCGCCAGCCTTGAAGGCCCTGCGCAGAGAGTGGCCATGTCTCTGATTTACTCAGCTTACCTGGGGATCTAGCCCATTCCCCACCCCCCAGGGGATGGGGAGTTGATGCAGCCCTTGTTCAGAGAGAGCCTGAGAAAGGCAGCAAAGGCTTCTGCAGCCAAAGCAGAGCACAATGGCAGAGGCCACTGGAAACGGACACGGTCGTGTAGGCTGAGAACCTTGGTGAGACTCGGACAAGCTCCTTGAGAGCTGGCAGTGCGTGGGTCAGTGCCACTTCAGGTGGACACCCAGGCTGCCATGTGTGTGCCCTGCAATGACAGGCTTTGCCTCTGCAGGTGGCCGCCTTGTCCTTGACTCCCAGTGCCTCTGTCCCGGGCCATGAATCCTTTCTGTGCCACAAGCCGACTGGTGACAGGAATGATGGCTGTCCTTCCCTTGGCCTCCGCGCTGCGCCCAGGCCAGGGCCACCTTTGCAGGGCTTCTGGGGCTAAAGCAGCTGCAGGGTTCCTGCTGGCCTGCTGGCCCTCGTGTTGGCCTGCACAGCTCCTTGTAGCAGAGAGCCTCTGAAGTGTCACTTGCTGTTGTTTTCTCCTGGGGTCTCAGGGTCTGGCTGGGGAGTCACTGATGTGTCCCAGGCTGTTAACTCTTAGCTGGCAAAGACAGCTCTCAGGAGCCCACAGTTGCCAAGCGGAAACACCTGCCCCAGGAAGAAGGCTGAGCAGAGGGAGGAGGGGCTGGGGGGAGAGTTGCCCAAGTTCTGCAAGGGCTCGAGTGTGGCCTAGCATGTTTCTTGGGGGAGGAAGGGGAGAGGCGCTCCGCCTGGGGGTTCACTGCTGGTTTGAGAGCAGTGTCCTAATGAGGGGCGGGGGCTGTGAGGAGAGCTTTGGAATGTGGTGATGGGGTGGTGGGCAGTGGGCAGGCAGAGGCCCCAAGAGCCGGCACCATGCGTGCATGCATGCATGCATGCACGCGCGGTCCTCGTACACCGGTGCACAGAGCACTTCCCCTGCTGTAGCTTTCCTCTTGCTTTCTACTGGTGAGTCCTTGAGGGGTGATGGCCCTGTGGCTGAGGGTAATGTGCGTCGAATTAAGTTACAGAAGAGGGAACATTTGGGAACATTGAGGTGCCACTGTCATTGTTAGAAAGTTTTTCTTTCTGGTACTGGGGATTAAACTCAGAAGTGCTCTACCACCGAACTGCAGCCCCAGCCCTAGGAAGTTGTTCCTATAGGAAAAATATTTTGTGTCAGCTGTCAGGAGCACAGATGGAGGAGTAGAATTCTGCTACAGAGGTTGGACTCTGGATGAACAGTTTCCAGGCATAGGTGCAGGGAGAAGGGGTCTTAATGTGAAATACTATGTACAATATGTAGCGGAGCTGTCCGGGGTCTCGGTGTGTCGCATGAGCATCAGGTTCCCAGCATTGGGATGGAGGTGTAGGACCAGTAGGAGGGTCTGTACATAAGCTCTGTAGGTTGGCCAGATTAGAGCAGGGCCACAGAAGAAGCCAGGATTCCAGCAGGCGGCCAGAGGGGCCTGTGTGTGTGTGTGTGTGTGTGTGTGTGTGTGTGCGCACACATGCGTGCAAAGACCACGGGGAAGGCAGATGTGGTGCTGGCCTGGGAGAGGCCCTACACCCGAGTGGCCTGCACCTAGCTTTGGAGTCCAGAGCCGAGGTGGCTTCTGCCTTGAGCTAGCCAGGCACCTGCCAACTGCTCCGTCTACAGTGGAGGGGAAGCTCTGGCCTTGCAGAACATCTGCTGGGACTCTGTGGGAAAGCCTCTGGCACATGAGTGTCAGTGAATTGCACGCATTTTTCCACTTCATGATGTGTTTTCCAGTTCCTCAGGACCAAAGGGTAGCAGGAAACTTTAATGTAGGGACACTTGCAAGCCATAGAAGCCAGAGAAGTAGACAATTCTTGAGCAAGGAGTCTTGAATGAACCAGCAAAATAGAGTTCAGCGAGTTGTGCATCAATATTGGCCCTGAGCAACACGAGTCCTTAATTATGCTACTTCATTGGAGCCAAGTAGAGCATTTTGCATGGTAAAGATCATGAATATGTTGAATTATTAGTGCTCTCCAGATTAGTGATAGAGTTCTCCTGGGTTGTTGATATTAAAGTACATTTTTCTTTTCTTTCTTTTTTTTTTTTTTGTCACAGCCCACTTGCATTCCTAACTGTGTTCTGCTCAGGCCCAGATGACTGCTGGTTTGTGATCACTGGACACCTGTTACCCAGACACCGCTCTTTCACAGTGTCTGTGGACTTGGCCCATGGCCCTTGAGCAGTGGGGGAACCCTGCAGGGTGTGACCTACTTATTCTATTGAGTGTCCAGTTTTCTCTGTCCTGCCCAGAAAGTACTGACCCACTCACTTCCTCTGCTCTCCTTTTCCCATTTCCTCCTCTTTCCCTCTTACCTGAAATGATTGTTTTCCTTAAGAAGAAAATGTGCTATGGCATGTAAGTCCCGCCCAGCCTTTCGAGTTCGTGGAAGCCCATGATGTGGAAACCCCTCCATGCGTCTCACATGGAGCAAAGCGTCCCTGTCTTTACACGGCTGCCTCTTACGGATGGTGGGTGTTACGGAGCCGTGCTGGTTAGCATTCGGCCTCATTTCACTGCTTGAACTGGAAGCAAGAATCAGCAAAAACTTCCAGGGCACGGCAGCCGAGGCTGCATGCACGGAGTGTGTCTATGGGATGGTGTCTTTGGTAGCTGGAAAATATCCTGCAAGTAATGTTGCATACCAATTAGTGGTATTAAAATATATATTATGCACAGCTCTGTATTTGCGTTTCAAAGTTTCCTTGACAACATCATTTAACTTCTTACTGTTCTTTTCATGTTGCTAGTATAAATATCTAATATGTTTTTGTTCAAAACATCAATTAGGCTTCAGTATAATCTTTATTAATACAGATCTGTTATTACAAGCAGACTGCTGAGTTGTGATAATTTGCACAGCAGGAACAATGAAATATCTTCTTTTTTGATTCTGTCCCAGACTGCCTGACTTTTTTCTTCTTACACTCAGCACACACCAAAACCCTTCCCTGCTATCTTTTACAATTGCAGTGAAATCTTTAAAGTTCTACGAAGTGTCATTTTCTCCCAAAGGGAGCACAGATTGTGGGCAGATTGATGGGTGTGCGTGGGTGTTACAGATCCCCACTTAGACGTCTTTACCTCTGTCTCCCTGTAGCCCGGACGCCCCACTTCCTGCGCATCCAGAACGTGGAGGTGAATGCCGGCCAGTCCGCCACCTTCCAGTGCAGTGCGATTGGCAGGACGTCATCCAAGGAGGACAGACTGTGGCTACAGGTACAGTGCTGCCTGCCGGCAGGCGTTCAACACAAAGACCGCATTTACTGTGGAGGCAGCGTGGGGCCCGGAGTGTGGGTTGGGGCACCCACGTGGGACTTCCCGGGTTTCCTAGGTTCTCTGTGGAGACTGTTGCTCTGCACAGTCGTAGTTCAGTTTCCATGTCTTCCCTTTGCATTTTGCTCCATAATCTCATTTGGGAGACCTCGTCATCGAGGTATCTTTAGAGCAGTATATGAATGTATAAAATATAGTACTTTGCTTCCTCTTTCCTCTGCTCTTCCTCCTGAGAAAAATCCCAAGATTCTCCCCCTCTCTCCCTGCCTGCCTCCCTCCTTCCCTCTCTCCCCCTCCTTGCTCTTCCTCTCCCCAACCCCAGTCTGCTCCTGCTCTGTGTTCCATTCCGTGCCTTCCCCTTGCGCATGTGCCCCTCTGCAGGGAGCCGGTCTCCTCCCTTCCCTTTGCTGGCTTTCTCTGTGTCCAGAGCCTCAACCCCCATCAACCTTCTCCCTTCTGTGCAGCTGCAATGATGGTGCTGTGTCGTATGCTGCGACACCACTATTCGGAAACCCTTCATCCCTTTTAATCGTCAGAACATAGGTAACGGGTCATCTTGGTTGCTTCATTTCTGGAGAGAGGGGCACCATCACTGTCTTCTCTGCAGCCTGAGGTGGCTGCGGGGAGGTTCCCGGCACCAGGTCTGCACAGGAGGAGCCGCAGGCCCTCTCTGCCTCGCTCTGCATGTACTGTGCCCGCTAGCAGCTTCCCTAGCCAGGAAGGAGCAGTGTGTACTCAAGGCCGAAACTGCACGTTCCAAGTGCATCCTTGCCTTTCCTCTTCTTCTGAAAGTTTTGTAATGAGCACTTAAAAGCTTTTTGCAGCTGGTAAAAAACTGTGGTCAGTGTTCAACTATTCCTTCCCCTTTGTATCTCCCTTCTCGGTTATTTTTAAATTCGTAATGCCAGGGATTCAGAATTGCGTCCTCTGTAAGTGGATTCTTGTATGAGGCCTTGTCCAGACTGGCTCTGCCACCAGGAGAGGCACCCTTTGTTGATATGTTCCTCGAGGCCCTAAGCATCTTGCAGAATGAAACAGGTCTCTTCATCTTTTTTATATCTTTTTTTTTTTCTTTCTTTTTTTTGTGTAACCGGGGAATGAACTCAGGCCCTTGCGCTTGCCGGAGAAGCGCTTATTCTACTTAGCCATCTCCCCAGCCCCAAGTCTCTTCATCTTTCATTCTTAATTTTTCATGAAAAAGTAGTATTTTGCTCTCAATATTTGTGGACTAGAGAGGACACGGTGGAAAGTGTAAGCTATCACTTCCAAAGCACTGAGATTTTCCAAGAATTTACCAGCATATTGACTGGGCATGGCAGTACACGCCTGTAATCCCAGCACTCGGAGGCTGAGGCAGGAGGATTACTGTGAGTTTCAGATCAACCTTGACTACAAAGTGAGCTCAAGGCCAGTCTGAACTGCACAGTGAGACCCTGTGTCAAAATGACAAAAACAAACAAACAAACAAACAAAGGAAAAACCGCAGCATGCATAGGTCGGTTCGCTGCTGTTTCTCAGGTGTCCTGTGCTTGTAACGCTCCCACTTATGCTTGAGCTTTTGAAGTTTTGCACTTTTGATTGTCTCCCATTACACTGGGAGAATTTCTTTTTAGGAATCTGTGATGTTGTACGGAAAAGGTGGTTGCCACTCTGAAAAAATACAGGGTTACACATACTGTTCTCAGCAGTGCTTCCCCTATAGAATCGCCTGGGCTACTTAAAATGTTTCTTCTTCTTCTTCTTCTTCTTCTTCTTCTTCTTCTTCTTCTTCTTCTTCTTCTTCTTCTTCTTCTTCTTCTTCTTCTTCTTCTTCTTTCTTCTCCTCCTTCTCCTCCTCCTCCTCCTCCTCCTTCTTCTTCTCCTTCTCCTTCTCCTTCTCTTCCTTCTTCCTTCTTCTTCCTTCTTCCTCCTTCCTCCTTCTTCCTCCTTCTTTTTCCTCCTTCCTCCTCCTCCTCCTTCTCCTCCTTTTTCTCCTTCTCCTCCTTCTCCTCCTTCTCCTTCTCCTTCTTCTCCTTCTCCTTCTCCTTCTTCTCCTTCTCCTTCTCCTTCTTTTTTTTTATTTTGGTGGTACCAGGATTGGTACCAGGTGGTACTCAGCCCCTTGTGCTTGCCAGGCAAGCACTTATTCTACTGAGCCATCTCCCCAGCCCAGTGTTTGGTTTCTGATAAAACTGGTCTGGTTTGGGCCCAGTTTATTAAAAGGTCCTTCAGTGATTCCATCGTTGTGAACCAGGTTGAAACTTACTACTCTGAAATCATACGTCATCACCTGCTTGTGCTAGAGGTGCTCGAATGCGGTCTGCCTTTCTCTGTGGCTTGTAACCTCATTTATGGGTTGTGCTACAAAGGATTACAGCTGTGTATCACAGCAGTTTTGTTAGCGGGTGTACAGGACATAGAACGATTTGAAAAGAAGTGGAATTGCTATTCCCTTGGCAAACTTAACTGGGGTATTTTAAGCCATGTATACTAAAGCATAAATTGAACAGCACTTACTATCACAGGAAAATATCAGAAATACACAGAGCAGCCTGTCTTCATTTGCTGTAGCAAGCAGTTGGTATCTGAAATTTTGAGCGGCTGAAATCACATCCATCATTGTTGTAGGCAGTTACCTGCCTACACTGCATCTGTCTAATATAATAGTGAACACACACTGAAGCCACAAGATGCTCGCAAGATGAGATCCTGCTTTAACTCATTAGGATTTTGGATTACCTTGATTTAGAAGTAAAGATTTGTTTTATATTGGTGAGAGTATGTGATGTCTAGGGAGATTCTGGAAGAAATTAATAAAGTTTACTTTGTGATTTTATCTAGCACAGGTGGCTGGCGGTTTGTGTGGGTTGGTGCGGCAGTGGTGAGCGCAGCTGGGGCAGAGACTCCCGGAGGCGCTCTGGACTCCCAGCCAGGGCTGACATTGAACCCTACTTGGCCTGCAGCTCAGGATGGTTGGAGAAAAAGGCATCAGCACCCCTCCTGAGGGCTGGCCGTTCTTGGCCTCAGGAAATGGACATCCAGGAAGTTCTCTCTTCTGTGTCCCTCCTCCCCGTCCCCTTCGTTAGAAGGCTACTCCCCGGTGTCCGAGCTTACCCCAGCGAGGGCAACACTGGCCCTGGCTGTGCATTTCCAGGAGGAAGGGCTGCTGACGCCAGGACTCTTTGTCTCTGTCCACCAGTACAGCCTTGGAGCCCAGGTCTTGGTAAATCTGCACAGTCCTAGGGGCTCAAATATTGATCCTCTATGTCTCTCCCTTTTGGAAGTGGAGGGGGGAAATGGCAGGCATTTTAGCTAGATAGTTTCTGTCTGGTTTAGGCAGCTCCAAGATTCCTAAGAGAGTTTCAGTGTGGTAATCTGGAATTATACTCAAGCCTCTGTGTGCGTCCACAAGGGCTTGGTTGGCACCCGTGCAGATCCCCGACTCTGGGCTGCCTATAGATTTACCTTAAAAGGTGTGGTGCTCTGGGTAGCCCTTGCGGAGCATCCTGTATATTTAGTCGTCTCTGGCTTACCTTCAGAACTGAATGCAGTGTAATCACATGTGATAGTGTCTACACTGTTATTCAGGAAGCTATGAGGAGAAAAGGTGTATATATATATTCAATACAGATGTGATTTTTTTCAGATATTTTTGATCCATGGATGTGAATATGAGGACTCGGATGGTGATGTCCTCACGTATGGGTGCCTGTCAAAGACCAGGGGACATTGTCTTAGGTTCTTCCTTGAGGTGGAAAGAAAATGGGCAGCGCTCAATGCATTTGAATTTCACAGTTGCCCTAGGACCAGAGGAGCAGTGTGGAGACAGTGCGTTGGCTTGTCTTCAGGGCTTGACCCAGTGTGGGGGCAAGTATGGGCACCACCGCTAGGCGCACCGCAGAGCCAGCCATCCTAGCCAGGGTGGGCGGGGAAGCCCTGAGGTGGGGAGGATTCCCTCTCCTCCCCTTCACAGTCCTGCCCTCAGCCCCTTTATGCAGAGGAAAGGGAGTTGGCCGAGGTCCAAGGGTAATTGCTGTTTGTCTCTGTTATGAGAACTGCTGTCCATTGAGCACAAAGGGCAAGCGACAAAGTAATGGGCTTTCTGTTTATTCTTAGGATTTAGAAGGCAGTTATTACCTTTCCTTGAGAAATTGGTGTTTTGTAGTACACGCTTCCTGCTTGCAGGTGTCTATGAGGCTGGCAGATGTGCTGCAGTGTGGAACTGTCACCATGCAGGGCTGTCTGCCCTTGGCCAGACTTCATTCTTGGTCACCTTACTAGGTATCTGTAGATGTCCCAGTTCTTCTGCAGCCAGTGAGTGACGTCTAGAGCAGGGGGCTCTTTTGGTTATGTGTCTCGGGCTGCTGCTAAGCCAGCCACAAAGCTGTCCCTGCAAAAGAGTCAGCTATAGAGAAGTGGGAGCTTGTTTTCTGATCACTCCCTTGAGGGCTTCCCGTTCCTTTCTGCTACGGAAATGGCAAACTTGGGGAAGACAGAATGCCCTAATGAACTTAAGAAGCTCACCCTGCAGCTTCCGCGGTGCACAGGACGTGGTCGGCGTCTGCTGCGTTTCACCTGCTCTGTCTCCACCGACGTGGAAGCCATCTGTGCCATCCGTCCTTTAGCTGTACGTGCTTCCCTAAAGCAGGTAGTGATATTCCATGCTGTAGGGTCCCAGTGTGCCCAGCTCTGTCCCTGCATAACCAGACAGAGAAAGCCAGTGCACAGGTGAGTGACTGCGACAGTGTTCAGTACACCTGGATTTATAGTCATAGAAATTCGAATGTAATAGCAATTGCATTGTTACAAAATGTTACTCTTCTTTGGATTTAGTTTTTCTTTCCTTTTTTTTGTGTGTGTTTTTGAGACAAAGGGTCGCTATGCAGTTCAGGCTGACTTTGAGCTCACTTTGTAACCCAGGCTGGTCTCAAACTTGCAGTGATTGTCCTGCCTTAGCCTCCCAA